GCCACTGCACTCCAGCCTGGGCGACAGAGTGAGACTCCAACTCAAAAAATAAAAAAATAAGAAATAAAAACATGACCTATTTTAGAAATTCTAATTTGACCATAATCAAATTCTGAAAAAGGTTTTTTTTTAACGAGTCAGAGTTTTACTCTGTTGCCCAGGCTGGAGTGCAGTAGCACATTCATGGCTGCTGCAGCCTTGAGCTGCTGAGCTCAGGCAATCCTCCCACCTCAGCCTTCCAAGTGGCTGGAACTATAAACACACACTACCACGCCCAGCTAATTTTTTTTTTTTTTTGAGTTGGAGTCTAACTCTGTTGGTCCATGGCCACTGCAACCTCAACTTGGTGGACTCAGGCAATCTTCCCGCCTTGGCCTTCCAAGTAGCTGGAACTACAGGCACGTGCCACTATGTCTGGCTAATTTTTTGATTTTTGTAGAGATGAGTTCTCACCAAGTTGCCCAGGCTGGTCTCAAATTCATGGGCTCAGGCAATCCTCTCATCTTGGTCTCCCAAAGTGCTGAGATTATAGGCGTGAGCCACCGTGCCAGGTCTAAAATTCTGAATTTTCCATAACTCAAATGTCCCACTCAAAAAATAAGAAAAGACCCAAAAGACTAGTTTTTCTCTGGGATATTTTTGGGCAAATATCAGGCCTCACACAATGACTTTCCTTCTCTCTCTTTTTGGAATCAGAGTCTCACTCTGTTCTCCGGCTGGAGTACAGTGGCACTCAAGGCCACCACAGTCTCAACCTGCTGGGCCCAGGCAATCCCTATGCCTCAGCTTTCCAAATAGCTAGGACTACAAGGCGAGTGCCATCATGCCCAGCTAATTTTTTGGCTTATTGTAGAGACGAGGGCTCACCAAGTTGCCCAGGCTGGTCTCAAACCCTGGGCTCAGGTAGTCCTCTCACCTTGGGGTCCCAAAGTGCTGAGATTACAGGTGTGAACCACCACACCCGGTCAACCTGTTACCTCTCAGTTCTTCCTAAAAACTTAAAAGGTTATAATGTGAGGTTATAATTCTCTTCTGAACTGTGATTACTTGTTTATGAGTATTTAATTTCTTCCTATCCTACCTCTCAAGCTAATATTTTAAAATATCATTGGCTCCTACTTTGACAATGAAGCAAATTAATTTTGCTTTTGGAACTTTACAGTGGCATGGGAAAGAAGCCCTCTTCTAGGGTATCTCACAATTATAGTCATACAATACCAGTAGCTCTAGCTTGAAGAAAACACTTGACAGGTAGAAGTCTTTTTGGTCATTTCTGTAATAACGCTGCAACAGCCCAGACAAATAGCAAAATAATGAACATAAAGAGCAGCCACTACCAATGAAGGCAGTTCAGAGACCATTATTCTATTTCTTGTGGTGCATAATTTTTGTTGCAATACAAATGTGTTTTGAGCATTAGCTATATTGATACCAGGAAGCTAAAGTACTGATGTACACAGTAGTTCAGATTTCCTGTCCAAAGGCCCTCTCTGTAGCAACTCAGGAAAAAATACAGAAAATGACAGTCTTGCCAATTTCAAGTCTTCACCCTCACTCTTTCCACTGGAGAATCTTCCCTTGTATTTTCTTAAAAAATAAAGCTCCATCAAGAGCCTGATTTTAACGTGAGGTTCTAGAGAGGAAATAAAGCCATGAAAAATGAGAGCCCTCTGCACTCTTATTTTCCATTCCTTTTTTTTTTTGAGTTGGAGTCTCACTCTGTCACCCAGACTGGAGTGCAGTGGCCGCTCCCGGCCACTGCAGCCTAGACCTGCTGGGCTCCGGCGACCCTTCCGCCTCAGCCTTCCGAGTAGCCGGAATTACAGGCATGTGCTACCATACCCAGCTGATTTTTTGATTTATTGTAGAGATGAGGTCTTGCAGCCCAGGCGGGTCTCGAACCCGTGGGCTCAGGCAATCCACTCACCTCAGCCTCCCAAAGGCGCAGGATTACAGGCTGAGCCACCGAGCCCGACTCCATTCCTTTTGAATCACAAGTAATAACAATCTCAAATAGTCTTGGGGTGTTCCATACCTTGAAGAACGTGTATTTGTTTAGTGGATTCCTCAACTTGATTACGATAGGCTTTTCTTTCTTCTTCCAAAAGACCTAAAAGTAAAAACACAGCATATCTAATTTTGTGAGTTAATAAAGTTATTAAGAATTGAGCTGCTGGAAATTTCCAAAACATTCTCTCCTAAAGCTTACTGAAAGAAACAAAAGTTAGACAATAAGTATTATCAGTACTAGCAGTTAGATAGTTTAAAGATTTTAGGAGCTTAAAGCAGTAGTAAGTAACAAATTTATTCAACTGAGTAGTGGAATTTTCTGGACCTTGTAACATGAAGATAATATGCGCTGTTCCTCATGAGAAACATTCATTTTTTTTTTTTTGAGTTGGAGTCTCACTCTGTTGCCCAGACTGGAGTGCA